CAAAAAAAAAAAAAAAAAACATACAAGGACACAATCGGTACACTTAGATAAATATTTTGTTTTTCCTTTCTTTCGAGTAACTAGTGGTGCTTTATCACACATAGCCAAAAACAATCTGTTCTTTTCGGGAAAAATTTATATCAATTTTTTTCACATAAACTCTATCTACATGTACACCAGTAGCAGCTTACACCGTTACCAATTCATAAAAATTCTTTCTGTTAAATGGTAAAATAACCCTGAAACGCACCAATTCATCCAATTGTAAACATACGTACGCGTATATGGTTGGCCACAGACAAAAAAAAAAACCAAAAAGAACTACTAACCAAAAAAATGTATAAACAACGTCAACAAATGGAAATTGAAAATATCATATTACCAAGAGATTTTGGTGGATATCGAAACCGACATGAGACAAGAAAAAAAAAAAAAAAAAAAAACAAGTACACACACAGAAATGCACAAAAACACAACTTGTAGATATGTAAACATCGGTAACTATATGTACGAATAAGTTTGTCTCTGTGTGCATCAATAATTCGTTTTGAGAATTATGGATACCGTAGACGCCTCCTTTACAATTTGGTTTCTGTTCATTCAACTCGTAACCTCGATGTATACACAGCTGAGGTTCCGGATTGATTTATCCATACGAGATGGTAAAAATTTAATGAACATATATGTGTGAGGTTTTGCTTTCAGCTTTAGGCTCTGAAAATATTAAAGTTTCTGCGCTAGTACAGTATGGTTTGAAATGATTTGAACCTCCAATCGAGCAAGTAGAACTGGTGAATATCTAAACTTGACTCTACGTCCCAGACGATCACAATTTCTCTTCCGAGGAGCAAGATTTGTTTATAAAATCGAGTAGCCGGAGAATACAAATCGTATTTTTGATTAACGGAAATAGGCTTAGGCAAGTTAATGGCGTGTCCACATACTGGTACGTTCATCACCGCATGAATGCTTTCATCCCTCCATCCTTTCATTTATTTATCGTTAAGTTCGTCCACCACTTCGTCGATCCGTTTGCCCGTCACTCCGCTGGTCGACACGTCTGTCCTCGAACTTCACTCTTCTTCTTCTGTCTGTTCACATGTACTTCAACCCTTTACTGCTGAAAGCTGAAACTTTTCGTATTATTGTCCCGACGTAGTTTCATGATGCATAAGTTGAAGAGATAAACACATGGAATTATTTAATAATTTAAGAGCTATCTCTCTCTATAAATTCTTGAACAGCAAACAATTCTGATTCCCTTTAGCATCTGTGTGTTTCTAGATCGAGTGATGTACTTACTATCTACTAGAAATGAATAATTGTCAGAAAAATATAAAATTTTTCTCTAGTTTTCGAATCAACTTTACATTTAGTATAATGAGCCCAGCATTCCGTGATAACTACCGAAGGCCCAGAAAAAAGATGAAAGCATGGCCTGCAGCATATTTATGTTCTATAATTTATTTTTTTTTTTTTTTGATAGCTTAACTCAAATATTTATTAGAATTGCTTGAAAAACCCAGCATAAGCTAATACTTTAATCTTGCTAGTAAACCATTCGTTGTTATGAAGAATTGCTCAAATGTAAATCCACTATTCGCCCAAGTCCACTGTAGCTGGCATATTTGTTTTAATCTAAATTTCATTTTGCCAAAGTTTCTATATTTTACGCCATCTGAGTCTTGTGTTGTGGTCTACTACTAAATATAAAATGTGAAACACAACGTCATTTTAACTAATAAATAACATTTTGAGAATTTATGTTTAGTAAATAAAAAAAAAACTAAAGAAAAAAAAGATTCTGTTTTAATTGCTTTTATATACTCAGTAAACATTAAAAATCAGCTTGCAAGATTTTCTAAATCATTCGAGATTTAAAACGATATAAATATTTAGCTAAACGTTTTTTGCTCGAAGAGTTTTTATTATAAGCGTAAGATTGGAGTTACAGAGGAAGGAATAAATTAGTAACACACGTACTACTTCAGCTTTGTCATTCTAAATATCTGAGTGTTTGTTGTAAATTGTTGTCATCAAACAGCTCAATTGATATCTGTCTAGTAATCTTGTCAGATGCGAGAGCTGCATCTTGTAATGCGTGGGATATAGATTTATCTCCTTCCTTCTTCTTTGTCATTCCGCTTCCGAGTTTTTTACAATAGTGTCATGAATAAGCGTTTTTTTTACCACGACAGAGTGTACACATCAGGAGAGAGTACAAGCAATGGAGTCAATTAATGTATGCAACTATTGCCCTGAAGCTATAAAGCGAACATCCTACCTTAGAATATATTATTAGCTGTTAGCATGTATTTCGATCAGTGACATCTACTGATGAAAACGATAAAATAATACACAGCTAAATTCGATGTTCTTGATCTTTGTCTATATAAAAGAACAGTTTTCCATTTTGTATTATTGAGTTACTCGCGGTTTCATTGCGTGGCAGGCAAAAAAAGGAGCGAGCTCTGTAACGTTTTGTGAGTGGCAATGAAAAAATGGATCCCAAGCGCAAAAGGTAATGGTTTAGTCCAGGAGAGCTATCTACATCGACACCAAAGCTGAATATTCATGGCCAAGATGTTTTGCTGCGCATATGACGGGATCAGTAAGATGTGCGGGACAACGAGCTGCTAAAGCCGATTGACACTGTTACTGTAGATATCTACCGTTGTCAATTGAACAAATTGAATGCGGCATTGGTGCACGAATAGGCGCTAACAGACGCATAGTCATCTTTTTGCACGATTATCTATTGCCAAGGATACACTGTTGCAGCTCGAATGGGAAGTTCTGACTCACCCAGGTATAGCGCCTTCCGATTTCCACTTGTTCAGATCGATGCAACATCACTGACTGGCACGCGGTCTCGAAATACTGCAGAAGTGGATCGCTGCCAAATCGATATCGTTCTTTCGAGACGGTATCGCTATATTGCCACAAGGATGGGAAAAAGTCGTAGATGATGTCAGAAAATATTTTAATTAATTTTTCTCAATAAATCCCATTTTCAACTGAAAACATGAGCAGAATCTATGCAAGCACGTATTACTTATAGAGAAATTAGTGATAGGACTTTAGAGTTGGTTTCTAAGGAGGGAATGTTTTTCATAGTTTTCATATTATATTTAAAATGGTGTATAATTTACGCAAATAATAGCTGAATAACTAATCAATTCAAAGCAATTTTGATTAGTTTATGTAAATTATCCATTTTTGGTTATTTGCTAATAAATAACAAAGATGAGCAAGTAAGTGATGTCATTTCTACTATAGTCAATAAATTTACTCCTTGATCTACACGCCATCTCCCGATTGTTGTGGCCTTAGTAGACAAACAGATTGGACGCGCGTCTGACCATGAAGTTATTCAGCCATGTATTGAACTTGTAAGAGATTATCGAGAGCAGTTGAACCACGAGTCTAACTCGAGTTGTTTTCGCTTGGTCCGTGCTTATGGCTTAGTTTCATTATCGCAAATCTCACATGTAGTTGGCGGTCAAGGGGTGAAGCCGTCTCAATTTGGTCAAGCTGTACTAAAATCTTGACGCTGTATTAGCTAGTATTTGAGAGTATTAGAGAATATTTGATCGATAAGTAATACCTTTTGTCTGGAAATACGATTTACATTGCATTTGTGAAAGGAATACTTTCACCGTTGGTATGTATAAGATTTGTAGTGTGTGATAAGTCCGTGACACTCATATATGACTCGAGCAGTATCGAGTTGGCCAGCAGCATCTATTAGCACCTATCTGGCAATATATTTTACGCCAAAAACTTTATAAAACCTGTACTTTTCATAGCCATATTTTAAACTTTCTGAAAAATCTTCATATTATTGACGAACTAAAGTCACACTTGTAGTTTTCTTGTAGAAAATGCAGTTTTAATGAAAATTAAGTTGAATAGAAGCACGGAAAACTTCATCGCATTATTGCACTCAATATCGCCGCCTAACGAATTTAACCTCTTACCAAAGGCAAATTTCTCAGATAGGAATACACATTCGAGTTTATTCTCGCTTAGCGAAATAAAGCAAACTTGTGGACCTTAAGAAACCCAGCAATCTTCCGAGACTGATTTGTTGCATTGGAATAAAGTATAGTTTGCTTTTTATTTTTGCTTCTAGTTACAGAAAGTGATCACGTGGTGATTAATTACCGCCACGCTGCCAACACCGACATTTTTTGTTATGGCGGAATCAACCGTAAGAGATAAATATTTACAGCAAAGTCAGTAAACTTTCTTTAAACTGTTATTTTTATTTTATTGAAAGAACTAATAAAGAATTAATGGGAAACAAAGAGAGAAACAGTGATTCCGATTGCAAATCAGGAGCAAGTGCTAAGATATACCGCGCTATTGCAAAATTTGAACGGTTACGCCTGAATTCCCGAACACGGGGATCTTCCTCAAGAAGGATTTGAATGACTAAAGCATATCCGTTCACGATGAAGCCTATTTCCTATATTAGTGAAAGAATTAATGTTACTATCCTTGCCTTGACGGAAGCTATAAAATTGAAAGCTTCTTCTTTCTTCTTTAATTCATTTCAATATACATCAAATCAATTCGGGAATGCTGTCTGACCAAACTGAAAAGTGTACTCAAAATTGTAATACCGGAACAAAAATTCCACATATGCACCTGCATGCTCCAATTGTTTGTATTGTTGCTTTTAACAAATGCCTCTTGAGAAATTATACCTTACTAGAAAAATTGTTGGTGCTTATAAATTAACAACAGCCGCAGTAAAGCACAAAAAGCGAAAAAATAAAACATCGTATCTAGTTGCATATGGTAAAGAGATGGAAGATGGAAGGAATAATAGAAGCAAAAGTAACAAAAGGGAATACATAAATGTAGGTATATATTACTATTATATAGAGTAATAGTAGTAGCAGTAGTGGTAGCAGTATTAATAAAAGGAGACAGAGATGGAACGAGATTTAACATATATATATATATATATATATAGTGAGTTTTGCACTTACCACGATTTGAAATAGAAGCGGCAGCGGTATTCCACAGTAGACACGAGTGTAGTAAACAAACGAGGCCAATTACTATTAAAAAACGGCGGCAATACATTTTCAACGTTCGGTACGGTAACAGTGATGCTGCTTTTGCTGCTACTGCTGCTAATGTTGGTGACGTACTTACTGAAGTTAAGTTATATGCTGTTGGTGGTGGCAGTGGTATTGACGATGGTACTGATGATGGTAGCGGTGATGATGTTAGCGATGGTGAAAACGATGAAGCACAAGTGTGAATAGCACGTACAACAGCAGGCATGAAAATTGTGGCCGGGGTAGTTAGAGTTGTTACTTTTGTAACTGTTGTTGGTGTTGCCGTTGCTGCTGCTATTTCACAAACTTCTGATGTTAATGTATTTGCGGCTTCACAAGAGCCTTGATGTATGCATTGCTTAGTTATAGGCATTGTATACGGAATGGAAATGTAAGTGAAATAAATGTGCACTTTTATATGCTTTTTATCAGTGTGTACGAATGTGTGTGTGTGTGTGGGCGTATGTTTGTGTGTGTCTGCGGCTATGTAAGAAACGTTTTCCGTTAGATAGTATAAAAAAAAAATTTAAATAAACTTTTCTGCTTCGTGTTTCGTTTTGTTAATTTCTATTGTTATTGTTCTTTAAGCAGTTTTTTATTTTTTATTTTTTTTCTTTATGTACAAATCGTAGGCACGGAGTATATCCGCATTTACTTTACACACCGTTAATATGAGTTATTGTTTAAAATTGTTTTTATTACGTTTTTCTTTTTTTGTGTTTTTTTTCTTTTTTCCTCTAGTATAGTTAAAGTGCTTTCTGGCTACTTTTTCTTGCAATTTATTTGCATAAATTGTTATTATGTTTTCCTTTTACCTTTTTATTTTATTTGCAATTAGAAGCTAATTAGTTGTTTAATTGTATACATTTTTTCATTGTATTTACTTTGCGGGTGTGTTTTTTTTTTTAAATGGTTTCTATTTATTTCCATAATGTGCCTTAAGTTATACTTCATTATTCAAACGTTCCACTGTTAAAGTATAGCATAATTTTGTACGCATTCTACTGCATAATGTATTCACACATCATTTTGTATGTGAATAGAATTAAAAGCATAAAGAAATAGCAAAAATGTTTACATACAAACAGTTGTAGAACACGTATAATGACAGTGTCTTAGTATTTTAGTAATTGATTGCATACTTTGGAGCATTCATTGTTTTAGCACTAGTGTAGCATAGTTAAACGAGCAATGAGTGACTGAGACCGAATATGTTATCAATCAAATTAAACTGTAAAGAGATTAAGAAGAACAAGAGGAAATTATTTAATTACTTTTTCTTCATAACAATTATAGTCAATTATAATAAAAGATTAAATATGCGTAAAAATTAAGAAGGCAAAAGTTATATTTCTAACTACAAATATTTACAAACACTATAAGGAACCAGGTCTCACCAATAAATAGTTTACACCACCCTACCAGTATTCGTTCGACTTTTTACAATAAGACGTTGTGTGGGATGTGATCGAGAAAATGCTTAGATTGGAATCATTTCCAAGAGCGTTCCTACTTGGGCCAAGACACGTCAGCGTAACAGATTTTATCGAAATGTGTCAAAAATTAGCGACATGCAAAGCTGCCTACAAGAAATAATATATAGAGATAAGCCTAGATGGATCAAGAAAGTGATCATGAATTAATCGGTTTGATGAAAAGTGGATATATTTCAAATCTTTCTTGTAGTTGCACACGACCGCATTAGTTTAATATACACTTGCATCACAAGCGGAGTGTGTTGTGAACAAAGAGAAGCTATGGTGTATTCAGTTTGCATTAAGGCTTTTTTTTTTAATTTATTCTTAAAAATACGAAAGGTGTAGAGGGAAAAACAGTAATCATCTTGACCTATGACTAACAAAAGTAATCATCATTTTTTTACGTATTTACGTCTTCTTCTAGAAATATATAGGGCATCCAGGGAGCCATCAAAGTTCATTTCACAGTCTGTGGTAAGCTGAAAGGGTAATTAACCCTCGACCAGATAGGTAGCTCTGTACTGAATATTAATATAAAAAACCATGAGATTATAGTTTGAATTTGACGAGACGGAATGATTAAGATATGAACATATGTACGGCAATCGGTTCGATTGTGTGTGTTGGTGGAAAGGATTGTATGTTTACATTTTATTGGATATCTGACAGATATACCTACGCATTACATATGCATTTTAGTGATTAGGGGATTTGGGAAAAGTTGGTAAACTATGACCAATAAAATCTGCTAAGAAACATATAAAATTATTACGAAAGAAATATTTTTATTTCCGATTTATGAAAAATAATATCAAATAGTAAATAGCATTTTCTAATGATAATACCGCATAAGATCTGAAAAGAATTGCTTTTTACAAACTTTTTTTGACCATAGTTGAGAAACATATTTGTATTTTTTAATAATATCCGCATGCCTATGAATGGCTTACAGTGCTGGAGATATGTAGAAAAATTTCACGCTTCAATGATTTGTCTAAGCAAGGTTTATTAACTAATGGTCATAACTGATGCACACAAATCTCAAATTTCGATCAGGGTAACTTTATGTACAGTGCGCTTCGTAGTAGACTGGCTTAGGTCACTAATAAATCCATTTAGAAATAAAAATGGATATAACGCAGTCAGGACTGCAAATAATTGCGTATGTATTCGCATATTTGTATCTTTCTGAAAGCGACAAAGGCAGACCCCATTAACGGTAGTAAGCACAAAGAGAAAATTATTGGCCCCTAGTCTAAATATTTTTTTTTTTTTTGCTTACATTTTTACACCAAACTATCATCATTGATGATTTGCGTCAAGATATATGTATTATACGTGTATACATATGTATATATATATATATATATATATATATATTCCTTGGGGCATAATTTGTTTTCATTTCATTACATTCACCAAACATACAAACCCAACATCATATACATATAATTTATGAAGCTTCTAGCAAACACAAAAGTAGTTAAGCAACAACACTGCCATAACCAGCAGGCTAAAAACAGTAAAAACAGAAAATTATAAATATGTTAAAAATCCTTTTTCGTTTTTTTTTTTTTGTTATTTTTTTTTTTTTTTTTTTTTGTTTTTAACATTTTAACAACCTCCATATAAGCATACGCACACATAAACTGGCCATCATCAACGTTAATAGAACAGTGAAGGCAACAACATCAACAACAGTAATAGTAAAGTGCCTTTAATGGTTTTCGTTGGTGCAACAAAGTAAACAAACAGAACAGTACATGAACGTCGACATTATATAACGATGTGTATCTGACCGAAATAAATACATTGAAATATTTACATAGCTGCTTGGACTTTATATATATATATATATATATGTATATGTGTGTGTGTGTGTGTGCGGGTAAAGAGATTTAAAATGATTTAAAGCAACTTTTTATGTGTGTGTAATTAAACATAAAAAATAAACGAATAATAATAATAATAATAATAACAAAGTTATTTTACAAACAAAACAATTTTATGTATAAAGTTTGTTGAAAGGCCTTAAAATTATTACATTAACACTTATTTGACATGCTTTGAAGGCATTGCATGTATATATATATACAACAACAACGTCAACAAGTATCAACTATTGTTTATAAATTGACATTTTAATATGAAATACAAAATATAAAAATAAATGATTACATAAAATTTAGAATAAATATACAGTAAGCGTGTATATTGGGTTGTTGGAAAAATCATTCCGTACCTTAACCTTTTCTTTTTTTAAATCAAAATTAACGATCAAGAAATCGATTTAAAAATATGTAATTTCTCAGTGACCGAATTGTTGCTCGACGGGTTGTGCCAACTAAAGCTTGATGTTACCTTCATCAGATGCAGCTGTCTTTCCAGCATGTGATGCTGGATAAATTAATTTGGGCAGAAGTGTCCTGCCAATAAATCTTCTGCAAGTACATCCAATAATTTTTCTCTTGCTTGGATAGAATTTTTATGTCTTCGATGGTAAGAAAGTAAAATATGGCCAAGTGCACGGACTCAAACAGATTTTTTTGTAAATAATCCTTGCCACGTCAACTGTCAAAATATGTAATGACAACGCGGCTTAAGCATTAACTTTGCAGCGAAAAAGTGCAACTAAAATCTTTGTTGAAAAAAAAGTAAAAGCGAACTTTTTTCCGAACAACCCGTAGTTGTAATGTATAGCTAAAGACAAAATGAAGGCCAAATACGGAAAGTAGGCTAATTGTATTGTGCGAAAATTTTGACAATTGTTATAGGTATTTGTGTATGAATGCTGAACGATGCTAATACTATGTCAAAGTTTTTAAATGACAAGAAAAGTCTTAGAGTAGGCAACATTTAATAATCAAATTTTCTATTCAGAAAATAATAAATTTATAGCAGATGAGAAAATGTTCTGCAATGATTTTTGTATAACGTAGTCACTCTTCTAAATCAATTATTAAAGCCAAGAAGAAGAAACATAACATTCGATATCTAAAATCAACTAATCATCCTTAGATCCTGTCTATCATTAGGTCATCGCAGCCTTAGATTCTACTTTCTCTGAGATCTTGTCTTATGATAAATGGACGAAAATAATTCTTTAGTTAAGTCAAATTTGCAAATACAGCAAAAAGGAAAAACGTCCTTTTAGTATGGCAACGCCTGATAATATATTACAACAGCGTTCAAAGCCTTCGTTATCACCAGTAGTTTGTCGCACTTGAACTCGGATGTGTGGCATCTTTAGACAGTCCCATTCGGTATCCGTATGAGCTTGTCTCACTTAATGACCCAATGACGTTCTCTATCTAAGTGCTGCTTTCCGTATATCAATATCAAAAACGAATGCTAGATAACATCCAAACACGAGTTGACCTTCCGATATAAAATGTCTTCCCCGTCTAGAAAAAGCAGGAGTAACAGATAGCGATACACATCACATTAAAAAAAAATGTTCCTTAAATGAATGCATAAATGACTACATGCTAGCGTTTATATTTATAATAAAAGAATATATTATGGATTTTAATAAAATTTTACAACAATTGAAAGTTATTAAAACCGTCATTATATTTGGAAGATAAACAAAATGAATGCAAAATACAACTTGTTAACAAATCTTAAGAGTTCCCCAGATATTTTTATGAATTTCTATGGAATTCTGTGTAAGAGTCCTCCGCATTTTACTTGTTTGGCCTTAACAAGCGCCTTCAAGAACTGCGTCTTCTTTGTCGATGCATAATGATGAATAATTGCACTAAGATCACATGGAAACCAACTACCAGTTAAGAAAGTGAACACAAAGAATCAGTTTTTTTTTTTATTTTTTTTATTTTCGTAACGTCAATGTTATTGTAAGAGTTTTTGTCTGTACATGCTCGAAGGATTTCATTATTTAGTGAAAAGAAATCTAAATAACAACGGTAAAAGGAAATGGTTATTCTTTATTCAGAAGCAATGTTTAATGAAAAGAAGAAAGGAAGTCCCTACAGAAAAAGTGAAGCAGAACGCTTAACTTCAATGTCAGTCAGCATTTGGACGTAACATGCTGCTCTCCTGTTTCATATAAATTCAAGCTATTACGTCAACACAGGATTCGGGGATATATGAAAATTATTTCGTACATTTGTATGTATGAGCCTATGTATGCAATACATACAATGCTTTGCCCATCAACTCTTTACGGCCGCCGTTCGCATCAAATGTTTTACGCTTAGGGCAAGAAATTTAACCCGTTTTACACAAGAAGCACATGTAAGGCGAATAAAAACAAACATAGGTTGAAAATATGAAATTTTCTCTTTGAACTTTTCATAACTTGGTCGTTCCCTCTTACGTTACTTTTCGTTGGAATTTCATATGCACGCGTATATGTGCACGTGTACGTATGTGAAAACCAGCCATATGGAAAATTTTAATAATCTTTTATCCAGAACATTTTCAGCAGGTTTCTGTTACATTTTCATTATTTTTCTTGCAATTTTCTCTTATTTTATTGCTTAACTTATTAGAACAAAGCAAGCACTGTATAATGACATTGTCATGAAACACTGCAAGAGTATGAACGAACGGTCTTGCGAATTGTCTCATCAAATCTTCTTTTTTTTTTTTTTTTTTTTTGCATTGTTTTTCATTTAAAATTGTGGAAAACTGTAGAAAAAGTAAAGCAAAACTTTAAGAAAATTTAAAGCAAACCTTCATTTTTCAAAGATCCTAAGGATGGACAAACATTGGCAAAATTAATTAGGCA